GAATACAGCAACCCACACTTTCAACAAGGCACAATACCAGGATCTATCAAACCATAAGGAATACAGCAACCCACACTTTCAACAAGGCACAATACCAGGATCCATCAAACCATAAGGAATACAGCAACCCACACTTTCAACAAGGCACAATACCAGGATCTATCAAACCATAAGGAATACAGCAGCACACACTTTCAACAAGGCACAATACCAGGATCCATTAAACCATAAGGAATACAGCAACCCAAATTTCTGTGAAAACTATATTATTTATGAGCTAGAAATTAACACGAGATGTGAATAACATAAATAAAAGTTCTCACTAAAATTACAACAGTTAAAAATATTACAAAAGGTCTAAACAATTTTCAAACTTTTAGATCCTATATGATTATAATATATACAGAAAGTAACAAACAGAAGAAAGTAAAACACAGTTTCAAATACATTTTAATTGTTTTAAGCCACTACCCATAAAGCCGTTATTTCATAATCAAAGCTCATTAGGTCAGGACGATCACCTGTTAAACTTAAGTGTAGTTGAAACACTGCAAAGTCTTTAAAATTATTTGAATCTTAGTGCTACTGTAAGAGGGATTACATTTTTCGTCATCATACAAATTTGAAGTATCCTTTACTCATTGTTAACATAATAATTATTCATACAGCATGAACCTCAGTATATATATATTGAACAGAAATGCTATACATATCTACTCATTTTTGTTTCTTTTAAAGATGCTTATTTCATTTAACTAGGATGTAACCACTGAATGTTATACTTGTCAATGATCTCTACAGAGAGCATTTTCTGCTAGTTGTGTCATCATGGTTGAAAAACAAGTCCTTATATCGTATTACTTTAATTGAACATATACCTTACCTCTTTTAAAATGCTATCACTTTCTTCTTGAGAGAATATTCCATCTTCAATGAGGTATGGTAAAATATATTTTGGGTACAAGTCCTCTGATAAGGCCCCTCTTTCCTTAAATAGAGCATATTTTTCCAGTGGATCCATTGTCATCCCAACTACACCAAATATCATGAAAAATGTATAAAGCCCTTAATTAATGATTACAAATACAATAATGTCAATAATATAAACAATTATCTGAACAACAACAAAATACACAAATATGTCAGGCAGGCAGTAACACTGCTTATGTGAGGATTGCTTTGATTGTTCATCGAAATGGTATTTTAAATATCTCCTCAATAGGGTTATCAGAATTTTACAATACTAAACAGTGTTTCCTTTTATAACAATATCTATGTAATTACTGAGTCGCGAGTTCTGTGAATGTCTGTAAATATCACAGCAAAAAGTTTGAATTTCTTGTTCTTTTTTCTTCTGCTTCTTTTTTATTACTTGATAACTAAAAAACCAAAACAATGGCGTCAACCACATTTGCTGTGGTGACATAGTTTCAAACGGAGTATCTGCTTTTATAAGTATTATTAACTAAAAGTAATTAAAAAATTATAATTCTTTTGTAAATGATGTTATCATTATCCCTTAAAGTTAGCTTTCTTACAAAAAATTAGTGTTCCTTTAAAAAGCTTAAGAACAGGGTGAAACAGGAATTACCAGCCAATAATAGATAAACAATAAATATGACAGTTGGAACCTCATTGAATTTAGAACTTGGTAATAAATACAATCTTCCTATGTCTATTGAAACACTCCATTAAAAAAATAAGCAAACAAGTAAAAAAAACAATTTTCAAAAAAGGATGTAAGGATGGCTAATATCAATCCTTCAAAAACAATGCAAACAAGATAGTAGGGATAGCATTCACATCATCCCTACATAATGATCCAAATGCCATTCCTACTATCTTGTTTGCATTGTTTTTCAAGGATTGATATTATTTATCCCTAAATTTACTTCCTTTTTTGAAAAGATTTTTCTTTACTTGTATCTATAGTATTGGAAATAATTATGGAAACAATGAATAAATTGGGTATAAAATGCAAATGTTAAGGGATTACTCATCTTACGTTGCATGAAAATTAACTGATTCAGATTATAATTACACTATGATTAGATGTCATCAAACCAATTAGACAATGCCACACCAGCATAATGCTATAAAAGTTCAGGAAACCATATTTTCAACATGCAATCATGGATAAAAATGTAACATGAAAGAATGAGGAGAAATTTCATGTTTCAGAGAGAACTGTGTGAAAACTCTGAAGAGTGTGCAAGAACTTAGTACTATAAATAATAAAAATGATTCAACACAAAAAGGCCCTAACACTTTAAATATGGTGTTATGTAACTCAGGGTGAGCTATTTATGTGATATATGCAGTTCAGTAAATACCTTGTTTATCACCTTCTGTATCTGTAAGGACTCGTGTGAATGTTACCTCCAGGAGAGTAAGACCCACATTGGCACAAAGTGACCTCAATGACTGTGTAGCTACTCAAAAACCACAGTAAATGTGGAGCAATGACATCTAGAAGGAAAAAATAGACTGATGGAACAATCACAACCATACCTTGGTCTGCATAAAGTCCCAAAATTAGAGTATGAAAAAAGTTCTCATCCTAGAATAGTAAAATTTACCAGAGGACAAGCAACAGTCAGTATGTGCTTGTTGCCCATGATAAGTGAAAATTCCCTGCAGCTATTTTAGGATCTACATTTTATCACATTCCCTACAACAAATTTTGTAAAAATTGACCCTGTTGATCACCTATTTCACCATTTGTAAAAATAAAATATAAATCTGGCAGGAAAAAACAACATTAATCTGATGATTGTTTTTGATAGACTAAAGGTAAGAAACAATTGTGTAAACCTGAAACAGATTACTTACAAGGCTAGAAATACTGACTGGTAAAACAGCATACACCAATCACAGCAAAAAACAGAAAGAAATGAGCTTTGAATTGATATGAGAGTTAATGTGATTGGTAAAGTAGTTTACTGATTTATTCTAGATGTTTTACTTCTGCACTCATCTGCATTTATTCTTTACTTTGATTTATATTTTTGGTGCCTGATATCAGATTAACACTGGAGGGGGCCAAATGGTGGTGGAAATATGGTTATATGCTTGCAACTGCTTTGACTAGAAAGAAAAAAAACAACAGCAAGGAAATAAAGGCAGAAAATTAAATGTGAAATACTAATGAATAATATACCCATTTGATGTTTAAAATTATTATGTTTAAAAGATCACTAGACTGTTTCTTTAAAATGTCTAATGATGTCAGAGAACAAACAAACCAAATAGATAAAAAGATACTGCAGAGGGTAGAAAGAATAATGATGCGAGTAAAAAAAGAATATGGATCATTTATGAGGAGGAGAAATACCAAATGTTTTGTAAAATTTACCTAAACTATAACAACTGGCCTGATAAGCATTGGTATTGGACAAAATGCCATGTCAGCATTGCATACGGCTGGTGTAGTGGGATTGACATATCATAAAAAATTCCCCTTTGCTTTCATTCTTGGGTTCTTAGAATTCTTAAACTGCCAATGTGGGATGTCTATTTTACAAAGGGTGAGATAGATGTTTCAGAAAAGAACAAATCCAATCAACATATGAAATATCATAATAAGTGCAATCATGACTAAAATTCAAATTTTGGTGAGCCTCTTCAGAAAGACATCAATAGGATTTATGAAACTGTTCATAAATGCATATGGTTAATTTAGAATATTTGAGAAACTCTGTGAACTACATGAAAAGAGTGGGATAGACTTAGGTGAAAGAACTGGAATGATAAGGCTTGCAAAAATTTTGTGGAATACACAGCTGACACAGAGAAAAAATATTACAAATTAAGTAAAAAAAGCAAGTTTTCTATGTATATTAGCTAATGCCAGTACTGATACATGTGTTATAGAACATGAAATACAATAAGTTCAGAGATCAAAATTGGTGGGATGTAACATGACTGTCATAATGATGGGGAAGAGGTCAAGGGTTTCTACAAAGCTTTCTGAAGGAGCACTCCACCCACTTACAATACCCTGCATGGCTTATAACTTTGAGTTAGAAGTCATACTCAAATCTTCAATTTTGAGACAAGTGATCACACTCTGTCATACTCCTTATTTCGGGTCTGCATGCACTGTTGTTCATGCTCTCCAAAACAATGGATATACTAATTTAAGTTCATGAGAGAATCACAGATTTTATATGTTCACATCATGATCATATCTTGATCTGACTAGCAAATGAAGTATTTGTTGCTAAATGAACATTTCAATGCTGTTTCCCTAATTCATGCATGATTTAGTACTTAAGCATTACTTTTGGCAAGACTTTGAAAAACATGTTAGCCATAAACTTGTTACTAGTTCCTCCAACCACATTGTGATATGTCAGCCATTCAATTACTTACATTTCTTGGGTGGCATAAAGCTGTTAGCCTAAACAAAGACCATGGAAGCAAATAGTTTGTTATTTTTACTACATGTTTAAATATAGACTTTGACCTTGGAAGGTTCAGAACACATTACTGAACAAAGATTCAAACCTTCGATAGTACAAATAATTATTATTCTATATTTTATTGAAAACCCTTTTATTTCAAAGGTAATCATATAAATGAAATAAAACAATCATATGTAGTTTAAAAATATATTATAAGAACAGTAATAATACTTTTACAGAAAAAATGCATGTTGTTTATGTTCACATACTTGATTTTATGTGTAACACTCATACAGCGACATACAGTAAACTTCCACTGCAAGAGCACCCTATTGAAGCAAGAATTGTAACTGAGGAGGAGTGTGGAGTTTAATAGTGTTCTTTTTCTCAGCATTAAATTACTCTACTATAATGTTTCTTACATCTGGTACACTAAGCTTTCAGTACATTTTACTAACTGTACTTCACCCCCGCCTACCCATCTCCATAATCCCTCATATTGGCCTGCTCCACAACAAAAATAAGCTGCTATGTGTAACATTTTGGTAGTGGTGTTCTTAATTTTATACAACAATTCTAAAGTAATGGGAATTACACAAATCAAAAATTAAAATTTTTCCTTACATGAAAATTTATTTCCAATAGATACTCACATTTTCCTACTGAAAGCTATCTTCTCTGTGCATCTGCCTTATAGATTTGCATGGCACTAGCCTTTAGGCAACTTCCACCTACACTCACAAGATTCCTTGTGATTTGTACTACTGCATAATGACATTATTATGCAGCAAAAGCCCTTCACCAATAGGAGAGTGACACAGCCTCCCTACACACTAGCCCCATCTATGCTTCTGCACTCGTGATCTTCATTCTATGATAATGCAAGAAATATTAAGTTGCACTGGAAGTGGGGAGGAAGAGTGGGAAGTGTGTAAAGTGGTGAGTAACTATCGGAAATACATTTTCAAGCAAGAAAAATGTTAACTTCCAAGGCGATACCACATCTCTTCACACAGAAAAGCTAAAATTCCACATTGTTATGGTGGAGGGATCAGTACAAAAGTTAACTGGATGAGCTCCCTTCAGAAAACATCTGAACAAAACCCATGGAGTGTGACACCTAATGGCAGGGATTACATAGGGGCACACTTGTGGGATCCTGCAACAAATTTCTCCTAGGGTATACTCTTCACCCAGATTGGTAGGGAAGAATAGGCAAAAATCCCATGTGTCGCAGGTATGGACAGAATAAGAACATTGCCATTCAAGGATTTGCACACAAGAGGTTGGAGAGCCAGTATGTGTAGTGTGGTGAAGGTGTGTACAGACTATACTAGTGCTCACCTCAACTGTACCATCAAACATATTGGACATACACATGCTGCAGGAAGAGGACACAGGAATCATTAGTATATGTTAGTCACAACTCTACCATTAGTCTCTTGGACTGACACCAGCTGTGGTAGGAGTGCACAAAATACATGTCATTGGTGTATCTTGCCACAACTCTACTGTCAGGCTCTTAGACTGACACCAGCTATGGGAAGAAGGCAAGACAAGTGAGTGCTGGTGCAGGAGGAAGGCAGGATTTGTTTGTAAGTGCTTACCTCAACTGAACAGGAAATGATTGCAGATAGTTGGTGGGTTAATTCCAGTCCAAAACCATGAGGCAATCAGGTATGTCTTTTCTGGTCTGTAGTAGGAGGAAGGCCCCAATCATCTTCACCTCATGAAGATGAAGCAGAAGGGAAAAGTAACTTCCATTCCAACAAATCAGGCAGAGTACATGTGTGTGTGGACCCAGTACATAAACAAAAACAGGCTACCTGAGTACCCAACATCCAGGCAATGGAAGGAAGGGGAAATGCAAACATTGTGGGTCAACTCCAGTCCAGAATCAGATGCTGTCAGGAATTTCTCGTCTGGTCTGTGTTGAAGGAAGATCCCTACCAACCACATGTGTGAGGACTTTTGTAGACTGGTCCTATGACGATCCAACACCAGACCACCCTGGAACCAACATCCAGGCAGTGGTAGGATGATTGGCATTGGCATGTCATAAGTAGAAGTATGTGAGGGGTGACATGCACTACACTGATAGTGTCACCACTGACTTACTTCCCACTGAATTGGCATCTTATGTTCAGTCCCTAATTATTCTGTCCCAATAAGTAAGGATTCTCTGTTGTCCACCACCCCAGTGACTAGGAACTGGCAAGTGGTAAGAGTCTCCCATGCTCTACTCCAAGAAAGGGCAGATGAATTTGCAGAAGGAAGACCAGAAGAAATGCCAGTACCCCATCAGTTGCCTGCCAGATAGGTCTTTTACTGGAGACAGTGCAGTGGGTAACCACGTAAACCTATTTTGAAAAGCCAGCAAGTGCAAGCAAGGGAAGAAGGCACAGCACCCCTGGTGCTGGCTTTTTCTATGATAGTCCATGGAATAGGTATGGTCTGGATCAAACTGTAGACAGATATCAGAATATACCACCAGGATACATCAAGTGGTCTTGCAGAACACCCCATCTCAGCAGTGGGCTACATAGAGCTAGGATGGATAGTATGAGCACTTTCAGATACTCTGGCTTGATGTGGAATTTTGAGAAATAAGTGTACCTTCAGCCACTTGGGTGAACCCTGAAAACAAATGCTAGAAACAAGGAGGAATGAACATACATGTCCAAAACTGGTGAAGAGAATGTTGGACAACAAACAGAGGCAGGCAGTGACCTCAGGGAGACTACACAGCCAAATGGCAAGGAGAATGGGCAACAAAGTTATACAAGGAAGTCCACATGCCAGCTGGAATGATCTTGTCTAGCAGCAGACAGAATCAAGCAACAAAAGAATGAGTGAGGAAAGGAATCTGATGGAATAATATATGGACCCTCAATGAGCAACAACCATGAAGAAAGAGAAGACCAAACCAAGAATGTGGCAGACTATACCAATAAAGGCTAAAGCAGATTTGTTCAAGGAGGAAGAGAAATCTTGGGGAATGTAGAGTGACAGACAGAATCTCTGAAGGTGAGAGGTACAAGTGAAGTAGCAACAA